GTATGAAATGAGACTAATTCAGTCATTGTAAAGCTATGAAGAAATGCAAGAACCGCTGGACACTGATGTTTAATCTTTGAAAGCCAAGCCTGAACCTTCAAAACTGATGAACTGATTCAACATCGACCAGTAGGGAATTCATTTGTTAAATGTTTCATCCCTTGCATAAATATTGAACACTCGACCTCTGTTTCAACACCGTTTTTCGATAGCATGGATATAGCATATCACGGCCTAGTTAGATTACACAGGAAAACAAAGGCGCACGAAATATTTTTGCTATAATTTTTTTTGGTTTTCCCCTTCGCTCATATTTAAACCGAAGTCCAAAAGCTCATTAAAAATAAAATAAAAAAATGATTCCACTATGCAATACCCCCAGACAACCCCGGACCTGAGGCGTCGTATAGATTTCAGACCTGACGGCAATTAACCCAATAGCATCAAAAGAGAGATTAGACGGACCCAAGACGCTATTAATATCTAAAGTCTTGCGCTAAAAGTTTATGAAAATAATTGATTTTATTATATACCAAGTGTCAAAGTTCCATTTTCCTCAATTTCTATTGGTCGAGAGTGTGTCACGTGAACGTGAAGAAATTCGACTGTTTCTTGGCGACCATTCTGGGAGGGGAATATTATGTTATGGACCGGGAATAACAAAACCGGAAGTCACGTGATTGAAAAAATATATAAACCGGAAAGCAGAAAGCAACGCATTTCAAAATTCATTCACATGTTTTCTTTCACGAAACATCAGATTAAACATAGAGTCTTCGGAGTTGTGTATTAAAAACATTAAAAATCTTATTCATTTCTCCATTTTTGTTTTGTTCTCTTTGACACTTGGTATGATAATAGACTTACCGAATATGTCCCTATCGAATCCAAAAGAAAAACTCAATAACAATCTCCAATATTCCTCTTGATAGCTAAATTTCATAACTAAAGTTCACGTGCTGTGTTAACTATCTTAGTTCTATCAGAATAGTACGCACAGTGTCTCTCGGACAAATCTTCTGGGCTTGCTGACCTGTCGCGTACAATAATAAAGCACTTATTTACTGGGACCTCGGGAAAGCAGTATGTTTTGTGGTCCCTCGACGGCTGATGTTTCCCTCGGCTCCGCCCTTGTGAAACATCAGCGGTCTCGGGACCCCAAAACATACTGTTTCCCTCGGTCCCAGTAAATAAGTGTTAATTACTTTTCAATGCAACCTGTTAATTTCTCGTTCGCTCATTGGTTGAGAGCAACTGTCGATTAGAGGCTAGACCCACTTGTGCCGACAACATGTCAAGCTAGGTTGCAAGCTTTTTATCAAACGATTTTAAATTATTCTATATGCAAAACGAAAAAAAAAAAAAAAAACTTGCCCAAGAAGATATTCTCGATTCTAATCTCGATTTTGATGAGATGATAAGCAATGACGAAGGAAAAAAACCTTTGCCGCTATCAGTAAAATCCGCGAATTTTTTTTTGAAATCTAGATTATAAGATGAACTTCTCTTGTCTGCTAAACAAATATCATCATTGGCGATTAATGACAAGTCGACATACAAATTCATTGCACTATTCAGCTGACATTGTGTCGTAAGCTTAAGGTATTCGTTATTTGCCCTTGGCAAAGAATGATATCTGAAAACACCTTGCTCAAGAAAGAAATGAGGAGAGCGTATTTTAAATATATTAATTTTATGAGTTTTCGCATGATTAATTTATCATGTTCTTCATTGGTCCGCAGCTGTTCCCGTTGGTAAGAGCTTC